ACGAATAGGTGTCGTAGGGGAATCTTTTAATACAGCGTGATGTGGGATGTAGTGGCAATAACCGTTTGATGTTTCTGGATTTGTAACTCTTTCAATAAAACCTCGTTTTAACTGTTCGTTAATAAGTTCACTGTAGGTTTGCAATGTCTTGGGGTCTTTGGCTAATCTCCTTACAGTGGAACGGGTTCTTCCTCGCGCTACTGCTTCGTTGGTGGGAAGGGGTCATGGTTAGGTTTCCATGGTAACTTTGCACAGTATCGGACATTCACGAGTCCTATTGAAGAATCCTGATATTCCTTAACAAACTTGTCTTCGTGGGTTGTCATTTCGTCTGGAAGAATCCCAATAGATTCTAGATTCCAAAATCGTTCTAAAGCTTTACTTTCGTGTTCGTTTGAAACAATGACTTTCAAGATGGTTGCATTGAGTGATGTTGTTGCAACAGCTGGCCCAGTTGTTGGTCCAGAAAGCAAGTAACCGATTCTAGATTTCGCTGCAGTGGGGCCCGGTCCCCTAACGATTTCGTCTTCGGCAACGTCCCAGTAGTGGTCCGCGCCAATCAAGAGGTATAAGTGGAAATGATCATCAGTCGTCATAGGGTGTGCAAGTTTCAAGCCGTTGAGGTGTGGGAGGTGTCGAATTTCGGCGGTGGGGAAACTTTTCTGCGGAACTGCGATTGTGGGAATTATCAATACCTGTAAAGGAATTTTTTCGCCATCTTCGGTGTTGAGATTAATCGTAGCCATGTCTACTTGTTTGATAGAAGTCGAAGACCCGCCAAAGATTGATAGATTTAAGGTTTCACTTCCTTCAGGCGTAAGTTCGAGTTCGTCAGCTAAACTTTGAGTGATAAAGGAACGTTGAGCACCTTCATCAAAGAGAATGTGTGCTGTCGCTATTTTGTTCTGTGTTGCTATCGTATTAATGGCAGTTTTGAGGAGTGTTTGTCTCCCATAGTAGTCGTTGACTGACAGAGACGTTGACTGACAGACACGGTCTGGGGTTTTGTCGACGGGTGGATTGGTTTTCGCGTTTTGAACTTGCGTCGTAATATTCGGTGCGTCGTTATTCGGCGGATGATTTTTCCCGGTATTTTTTGTTGCATCTTTGTTCGTTTCATTACAAAGACTCGTGTGGTGTTTCTTGTGACACCCTCGACAGCGATTTCTCGAATTACAATCAGATACGCGGTGATTGTTCAAACAGTTAAAACATAACTTCGCTTGGAAAACAATATTCTTACGGGCTGTGGGATCCTTTACTACAGTACACTCGTTAGGGCGATGATGGCCCGAACAGAAAATGCATAAACTCTTGTTTGTAGGGCGATTTTTAGGTGCGTAAAATTCTTTTGCGTTGACATGGTTTCCAAACTTTCCGGATGCGTTTGTCAGTAGACTCGATGTTGATGGCAGGGTGTTGACAGGTTTGCCTAATTGACTAATTTGACTGAAAGAGTCTGTTTCTTCCCCAGCTTCTAGTATTTGAATTTCTTTCAAAATTGATTTGCGTAATTGTTCTACTGACCATTTAGTTGAAGCGTTCTCTCGAATTAAGTTGTGCTTGATTGTAGTGGGAAGTTTACCCAAAACAATGGGGATTAAAAGGTCACCGTAGGTGTCTAGTTTCTTTCCTAACGCCTCGAGACCTCGAATATGATTTTCCATGCTATCGTAAAATTGGCGCAAGGTAGACACTGAATTTGAAGGGCATGGTAGATCTAACAAGGCTTGCATGTGTGCGTTAGTTATCTTGTGGGGTTGACCAAATCTCTGTTCCAAAATTGCAATACATTGCGCATAGTTTGACTCTGTAAGCGGTAAACCTTCGATTGATTGCGCGGCTTCACCTGACACTTGAGCTTTGAGATATGTAATTTTTTGTATGTCGCTTAGGCTGGAGTTTTCATGTATAGCGACCTTATAAGAGTCCCAAAAGGTTTGCCATTTTAACACGTTGCCGCTAAATACTGGCAGTGCTAACTTTGGTAATCTATGACTATTTGTATTGTGCGATTGTGGCAGCGTACCTTGAGTAGGAAAAACGTGTCCGTTTTGTGGTGTTGTGGTAGCCATAGGGCTAGCTAACGAATTACTATGGATTGTACTTTGATTGATAAAGAATTCTATGGTGTACCTCTTTTTAGTTAGTTCCGTTAAATAGTCGTCGGCTTCAACGATCTCCGTCTCTAAGCCCTTTTCGTCTTTGATTAGATCTGATACAGTCTCATTCGCGTCGTACGTTGCCAGAATGACCCGTAGTTTCTCAATATTAACTTCGTTCGTTTCACCGTTTATGAGTAGTTCAGCTTCGTTCCAAATTTTAGTTGCTTGTGCACGTTGAGCGCCACGTTTTATCCTTGCGCGTTTTAGACCGTCCATCCTGGTCACGGCACCAATGTCTCGTTCGTCACTCGAAATAAGCTATAGTGTTGTCTTGCGTTGTGTTAACTTGTCTACGACGATAACGAGATCTAATGTAGCGTAGGTTCTTTCGATAGAATCAAGGACGATCTACACCATAGTTTGAATATGTATTATTTACACTAACACAAGCTCAAAAGCCAGTGCGAAAACTATATACAACAAAAAGGTGATTATCAAATTATCCTGAATGTCCCAGTTATCCTAGTGCAAGTGTAATTCTATCCTAGTTCAATTAACTAACCGTGTTCGATATAAGATATTAATAATGAACTGTTTATATTAGAATGCGTGCAAGATATCTATAATGTTCAAAGTACTGTCAATTCTCGACAACAATTTCTCGTTTTCCCAATTCCACTCGTGTTGATATAACTGTATATCAACACGGAAAATGTTTTATATTTGTTAAATATTAACCACTAATAAATCACTATAAGTCCTATAAGCAAGCTTAAGCAATTAAGCGGCATTTTTGTCACGATGCACCTATGTCACCTGAAAATTGGTGTACGTAAACTAATTTTGGTGGCATTTTGCATCATAATAAGTGCCTTGTGGAACTGGAAGCAAAAAGCTTTAAAAGTCTTATGTTTTGTCATATGTGTTGAAGATTAATTACTACAAACTCAGATACAAATACAGTTTTTAATCCAGTCCCTCCTTGGCAATTTGACGCTCATGTCGACAAAAACGTCACTTGGGCCAAATAAAAAAATATGTGGGTTTCCGGTTTCCCGACCCTACCTAGCTTTTGGACGTCGAAATCCCGACCCTAAATTTTTTTATTGGATCACGCTTGTAAGTGTTTTCACTTAGAGGAAAACGTTTGTGGAAAATGAAAATTTGAGGCAATATTAGGGAAATTTATGTTTGGATGTGGAAGCACTGACTAAACAAAATGGCGTCCGGTTGTTAGGAAAATTAAAAAGAAAAGTAAAAAAAAAGTTAAAACCGACCTACCCTACCTAAGTTTTTACAAGAGGAAACCGGAAACCCACATATTTTTTTTTTGGCCTTGCGCTTAATTAAGCTGCAGAGCTACCCCACTGGCGAGTAAAATTGTCTAGCGTTGGACAATTTAAAAAAAGTAGGGCGCACTGGGGCGCAATCTCAATGGGTTAACTAGAGACATTGTCAATGGATTAACTATAGAGACACTGTTTTTGGTTAATCCATTAAGCTGCAGACTGCTTCCCCACTGACGAGTAAAATTGTCTCATTGCGGCTTAATGGGTAATAAGCTCACTATTTAATTAAGGGACTCAATCACCCTGACTGAGTCAGCTGCTGCTGCGAGCTTAAATTAATAGCTAATTTCCTCCATCTGAAGAAGAACCGTTTTAATTATTACTACAGTCTTTGCATGTATATCATTGATAAGTAAAATGGAAAATCTATTTTAGGGAATAATTATTGCCATATTGGCATTTTTACAACAAAGAAGAAGTTTTAAGGAAGAAGTTTGGGGAGGTCGACCTGGAATTGTTGTGTGAGTATTAAGGCCATTGCTGTGTGAGTATTAAGGCCATCTTGCAACTTGCAATGCAGTTCTACTCTTGAGAGATGTTAATTAGTGAAATCAGTGAAGAATTTTCGATATGTTGAGAAAACATCAGCGGAGTGTAATGAAGACTCGTATTTGGCAATTTTACATCTCTCAAGAGTAGAATTGCATTGCAAGTTGCAAGAAAAAATGCACTGTGTAACATGGCCTTAAGACAGTATAAATTATTATAAACATTCCTGACAGATATGTCAGCTAATTGAGTGTCAATCTAATTACATACTCTTTTAGACAATCAATCCATTAATATGAGCAATAATGCTCTAATTGAAGAGTAAAATCATCTAGCATAATGGCAGTAAAATAATAAAGACTGGGGGCATTTGTGGTGACGACGAGCCGAATGTTATTATCCCATTGAGCGTCGGCGCTCTCCCTTGATGAGTAAAATCGTCTGGCATTAGACAGAGTAAAATAATAAATTACTAGCTTATTTACAAGCTATAGTAGCTATAGGGTGGCATTAATTGGGGGGCAATTAATGCAACCAATGGGTTATTAAAACCACCAACTGAATTGTTCTCTGAAAAAGAAACGAAAAAAGAAAGTCTCTTAGTCTTAAATAGCATTTCCTGCATTTTGAGGGAATTAGATTTAAACTGTTATAGAATACTAAAGATTATATATTCTAAACACACGCCTTAATCGACCTATTACCTAATTAACAAAACTTTGATCTATACATGTCTAGACCAAAAATTTATCACAGCTTGAAAGAGCATCACAAAATTAGTAATATTCCGAAGTTTCGTTGCGAAATGTTGTAAAATGAGGATACAGTACAACAGCCCTGCGAAGTTTGCCGTTTTTCAGTCATTTTGTGTAGACCCTTTGCACTGACGTCACAAATCCTTAGAGTGTCCTCCAGATGCTCCCTAACAATATCTGTTCGGGTACAACAACCACATACAGCAAAAAAATTAACCATTTTAATACAAAATTATTATAAACTTTTACAAAATTTGCTTTGTTTACAAAAGTTGTATTATGCGTAGATTGCTAATTTGTCGTCCAGATGCATCGTTACTGGCGCTGTGACGTCATGTGCAATGGGTCTATACAGCTATTTCAATTAAGATATTTTCTGTGTTGGTGCAATGTACTCATGTGAATAAGATGCTTGTGATGTTACTCTGAGTGTATATCCACACCGGGCAAGCTTGAAAAATATGCCTGACCACGGTGGGAATCAAACCTACGACCTTTGGAAACAAGCCCAGTATTCCAAAGGCTATATATCCAAAGGTCGTAGGTTCGATTCCCACCGTGGTCAAGCATATTTTTCAAGCTTGCCCGGTGTGGATATACACTCAGAGTAACATCACAAGCATCTTATTCACCTGAGTACATTGCACCAACACAGAAAATATCATTATTACTAGGTTACATTGATATCGAAGGAACTAGATTTTGTTCCGAAATATCACATACTCGAACCGACCAGACCGCGTAGCTCAATTGGTAGAGCATTGGGCTAGTATTCCAAAGGTCGTAGGTTCGATTCCCACCGTGGTCAGGCATATTTTTCAAGCTTGCCCGGTGTGAATATACACTCAAAGTAACATCACAAGCATATTTCAATTAAGGTTGTCCACGAGCAAAGCGGAAAAGTCGAATACGAGCGCGAAAGGCTGCTGGGAATCGCTAACAAATTAATGAATTTTCAAAGCGATTCCCAGCAGCCTTTCGCGCTCGTATTCGACTTTTCCGCTTTGCTCGTGGACAACCTTAATTGAAATAGCTGTATACGCACGAAATTGATACCGCTTTCTGGAAAAAGGTATTTAATTATTCAGCCCCGGCAGGCCGGACGCTGGGTTGATAATATCATTCTGCCAAAAAATTTCTTCATCGATCGGGTTTATTGGACATTTCTGTATTCAACCTGTATCAAGCTAAATAATTACTGTCGTTCCAATTGAAGTGTTCCTCAAATATTGATTCAATACATTACCTCAGGCTGACCAATTCATTTCATCAAGTTCCTCGAGATATTCATACACTTCCTAGTATAATTGTAAACTTCCTGTTGAATAGTTTGAATGCACCAATCACCTTTGTTGTTTGTGCAACTAACCAATCATAAATAGAAAGGAAGTGTCCAGAAATGATCAGATACTTGGAATTGGCTCTTTCACAGGAAGTGTATGAATATCTCGAGGAACTTGATGAAACGAATTGGTCAACCTGAGGTAATGTATTGAATCAATATTCGGGGAACACTTCAGTTGGAACGACAGTAATAGTGTGGAATTTCAGCAATACTTGATTGATTGATTGATTGATTGATTGATTATAGGATTTTTGCACACCGTATTACTATTATTTCTTAACAAATGTACACAAACTCTGGGCTTCTCCCGAGGCAGTAATCAGTGGTCGTGGAAACCGTAAATATGTCTGTCTTCTGGATTGTCTATTGTCTGACAGTCAGGTAGACATGCAGTATAAGTTGCATCAGTCGTAATTGGCTGGCTGTGGCCACCGGCCCACCAGACGATTGTACTCGTCAAGGTAAGAGTGCTGCCGCTCAATGTGTAAATAACTCATTAAATTGCATTGCGCTCCGGTGCGCAAACCAGAGCGCCATACTATATCATCTTATTCTTGTCTAACGCCAGACAATCTTTCTCCGTCTATAAATGCCAAACAATTTTTCTCATCAAGGCGCCGGGGAAGTCGTGCTGCTATTCAATGGGTTAATTAAATTACATCCTGTGCATGTAGGCCTATAGACTTCCTTGGCATGGATCATGACCGCCTGGCCATCATGTGCGTGTTTGGAGCTGCTACTGCATCAATCCTGCTTCTGGTCTTTAAAAGCATTTCAGGATATAGCAATGCTTGGGGAAAAGGTAAGAATGAGTTTTCGTTTATTATCCAATATTCCCAAGAAAAATTACACCCATGTTTATGTCATTTATGAGAGATTGTTGCAGTTTAGTTAAACTTACTTTTCACTCAAGTGTTCCGAATTTATTTCCGAAGTGCGCTAATTTGTTGGGAAGTTCAAAAGTTCATAATGAAGCATGATCGGATTGATGAGGTGTGGTATAGGACGTCTGCTGTATGTGTTTGCCCATTGGCTAACAGATGTGTTACAGTTAAAGTCTGGCTTCCATATGGTCGTAATAGCCGTAAAAATCTCATCACGATCTTTCTCAACTGCAGCCAGTTTATAATAGTTTTTATAATATAGCATTTGTAAATTCTGAACGCTGATTGGCTAAGAGCCGTGTTGATATAACTCATTGTCAACACAGAAACGTTGGAAAATTCCTTTCTTTATATTTCTTTGTGCTATATTATAAAACAAATATAAAACTTTTTTCCGTATTAATATACAGTTATATCAACACTCGTGGAAATTGGGAAAACTCGAAATTGTGTGAAAACCATTGAACTATAAATAAACTGGAAGGCTAACTGCTATGATGAAGGCCTATGATTTGATGAAGCCAAAATAGTTTTTCTGAGTTATGAGCAGATTTACTTGACCCCAAACGTTGGGCTATATATCAAATTGAAGCTATTGAAAAGTGCTATTCGGTGTGGAAATTTCAAGACTTCAGCGGAAAAGAAAACTATTTAAAAGATACAAAAAAAACTGCAAAATGGCAAATTATCGGTAATTTTGTTTGTAGTTTTTCAATATTTCCCTTTTAGCTAAAGTCTTGAAATTTCCTCACCAAATAGCGTTTTTTAATAGCTTCAATTTGATATATAGTTCAGTGTTGAGTATTTCTGCTCATAACTCAGAAAAACTAAAATGCACTGGCCTCAATTACCCTCCCCCCTGAGTTAGCCTTCCAGTTTATTTGTAGTTCAATGGTGAAAACCTGGTGAAAACACTCCGCCCTTCGGGCGTCGTGTTTCCACACAAATTTCTCGTTTTCTCAATTTCCACTCGTGTTGATATAACTGTATATAACATTCTGGGGTTATATAGTGTCTGTGAAGGGTGTAATATATTCATGATATGCTACAGTCGTGCCAATAGAAGCGTTTCGAAAAATGTTGACCAATTCATTTCCTAACTTGAAGGAACACCTCTGAACAATTCCTCAACAATTTGATAAGTTTCTTAAAAAGTTCCTAACTTCCTGTTTTATTGACCAATCAAATTTTATATTTATTTTTGAGCAATCTGATTGGTCAATGAAACAGGAAGTTAGGAACTTTTTAAGGAACTTATCAAATTGTTGAGGAATTGTTCAGAGGTGTTCCTTCAAGTTAGGAAATGAATTGGTCAACATTTTTCGGAACGCTTCTATTGGCACGATTGTAATATTCTGTTGTATAAAATGTTAGTCGGTATATAATCAAGTGAATCTATAATATATTTGCATGAACTCAACCAAGAACGTTGTTGTATTTGTATTGATCGATTCAAGAAATGTATAGCCCAAGGAACATATAACGGAGGGTCTTATTGAAAATTATGACTCATATTTTACATAACTGTACAGTGACTTTGGAGTTTCTGCCAACTGAACCGCATTTAGTATGTCCATTGACGTATCTTATGGTTAGGCGTTGTTTTCTAAACTAAACGTATTTGCTTAGTAATGCGTGGCTAGTATTTTTGCGTACTCTTGCATGCCTTAAACTAGATGTTCAATCTACAGGAAAATTATTACATAGTGTAGTATATCTGCCAGTTCAAGTTATTTTTGGAACCTGTCCTCGAAATTACTGTACTTTAACTAAAACATTCTAATTATCATCTAGCAATTCTCATTGGAACCTGTCTCCGAAATTACTATTTAAAAATTCTATTAACCCATTGAGTGCTGAGCACTTTCCCCTTGACAAGTGAAACCGTCTGGCGTTAGACTGAGTAAAATAATCTGGCGTTAGACAGAGTAAAATAATAAAGTAGGGTGCGCTAGGGCGCAATGCAACTCAATGGATTGATCTTTCTTTTAGCATTTCTTCTCATTGGAACCTGTCTTGAAATTGCTTTCCTCTATTATCCCTACTTTGGATGTTTGACGTCACATCACAGAATAATTGGCGCTTTGATGGGACTTCCATATGCAACAGTCTAGTAAGTAGGAATGAACTCGTACTGTAATAAAAATTCTCCTTAAGGGGCGGACATTAGAAAACTGAATAGGTGGGAAAAGGGGGGGGGGAATGAAGGCGAGTTGCCAGGTATCCTGGGCATTCCGCTTTCCCAAGAAAAATTACACCCATATATGTTTATGAGAGACTGTTGCAGTCTAGTTAAACTTACTTTTCACTCAAGTGTTCCGAACTTATTTCCGAAGTGCGCTAATTTGTTGGGAAGTTCAAAAGTTCATAATGAAGCATGATTGGACTGATGAAGTGAGATATAGGACGTCTGCTGTATGTGTTTGTAGAATGCAAACACACATAGTATAGTCCCAGCTTACTAATTACACTGGAATTTTTTCAAAATTCTTGCTATGGAAATAGTATGGATCTTCAGTGGAAATAGTATGGAAATCCATACTATTTCAATGTAGTATGGAAATAATATGGATACACGTTGGGTTTAGTGATGCAATTGCAAATTTCATATACAGGGTAGTATGGATTTCACTATTTTTTCCAGTGTTAGACTTAGTCTAATACGTTTTAGATGTGCTTTGTTCACTTCAAAAACTTAGGGTCTGTTTATATGGGGAAAAGTTATCCCGGTTAGCGACAAAACATTTAGACAAGTTTACAAGTGAGACCTCGCCTTGTTATGAAAATAATATGAAAATTTACACTATGTTCACATGAGACGGAAATGTTTTCCCGTATATACCGAGATCTCGCTTGTTGACAGGCGAGATCTCTGTGACCGCGATGTTTTTCCCATGTGAACCCAAAATCGACACAACGTTCCCACTTAGCGGGAAAACTTTCTGTCGTGTCAGCAACGTTTCTGTTTTTAAAATGTATTTTAAAGTTTTTTGTCACAACCGGAAACTTTACCCGGTAAGCGGGATAACGTTTCTTCGTATGAACAGAACAAAATTATTTGGCTAGTCGAAACGTTTTCTCGCTAAACGGGATAACTTTTCCCCATATGAACAGGCTCGAGTTTCAAGTTTTAACCAACTCAAGTATGGGGGCAGGGGGCGAAACTTGGGGGGGGGGGATGGGTGTGTGTGGCAAAAAAACAAAAAAAAAACACCAAACGAATCATCCCGATTGGCAGGGCAATCAAAGATTTTAAATGATAGAATGTAGAGTTATTAAGTAACTTATTACAGCTAGGAAACAATAAGTTTGTATGCATGTACATTGGCATCGGCAGTTCAATTATACACGTAGCTTAGTGATGAATAGTATTAGCGCTGGCGCTGCAGAGCATCATTGGTTTTGGCAGGTCGATTCTGCCAGACAACCCCCTAATTAAAAGCGGCTAGTTTCGCTCCTGTATGGGGGCAATCATTGAGTACCAGTAAAGTGCAGCTTCCACCAACCAAACGATTGCCATATAGTGAATGATTATAATGCTTATTATTAAAGTCGTTTTATTTTCTTATTGTAGCTTTCTTCTGTACATGACTACAAGTTTTCAAAAGTGTAATGTAAGTTTATTTGAACATAAAATCTATATTACATGAATGATGAAGTTACTTTTTTTCAGCTTTAGAATAAAGCTGGATTTCAAGTGGTGCTGTTAAAAGTATCTTCTACTAACGAAACAGACGAGCGAAAAGCACTCTGCTTCCAGTCCGAACTTCTGAATGCGGAAATAACGGTCTGCCTGCTGACGAGGCTAGCGTGTTGTTTTTAAATAAAGTTTTACCTACCTATAAACGTGAACCTTGCTGGAGATTTTAAGCCAGTAGATATCTACAGTATGAACTGACAAAGTTTCAGAAATTAAAGATCATGAGCAAAAACCTGGGCAGATCAACCTCGTGCCCAGGTTCCAAGTGTCTCACGCGACTTCGTGGGATGCCTGAGGACGAGGCTGGGCGTAACCGTTGCAATGCTGTCGCCATGGTCCTAGCCAGTGCGCTTATGAGAGGAATTCATCCCCTGAAAATATTCAAAATGGCGGACGTTCAGGGGCGTGAATGCCTCTCACAAGCGCACTCACTAGGAACACTATTTTGCGATATAATCGCCTTGACTGCCTGTTTTTTTTCCCGTTATTAGGGCTTAACGACAAGTGGATATGTTTTATTCATATTCATTGAGATGCCACCGATATTATGCCATCTGTTTATTATGGGGAAGTTTATACTTGTACTTTATAATGAAATCAAGGAACATGGAACATTCAAAGTGCAATTCTTTTTTCATAATGCCGTAAGTTATGTTACTGCCGTAAGTTATGTAAGTTACACAAAAATGGCCATATCGTTCAATATTCATTGCATAGCATCAATAATTCTTGTGCGCTTTTTGTTTTTCTTTGTTTTGGCGTATTTAAAATATATTAGTGGCTTTATCTTTGCTCTGGTCTCGTAATACCTCTTTTCTATCTTTAATTACACCGCCACGTTAAATCCAGTAATTTGAATTATTCATGAAAAGTTTCAAGATACGAGCCTTTAAATATTTAACAATTATTGAATGAGGTTGAGCACGATATGAAGAATTATCAAGCCCGAAGTTTGCCGTTATCAACCGAAGGCTGAGGTTGATAACGGCTAACACAGTTGATAACGGCTAACTGAGGTTGATAACGGCTAACTGAGGTTGATAACGGCAATTGTGCGAAAACCGAATTCAATAATTGTTTTATTATTTATTTAAAAAATTAAAAACAAACGGAAGAAGCCATTTGTATTTTATTTGTATTATTAAAGAAAAAAACAATTCCTTAGTCCTTCGGCAGCCGTCGTTATCGTCATATCAATGGCGTCAGCAAGTCAATATGATTCTCGTCGTCATAGTAATATGGCGCAAACGCGTCCAAAGTTTTTTCATATTGACTCTTTGACGTCATTTTTGTTAATATGAATGTGAAAAATCCATATTTGGTTAGCCATTGAGTTGATATGACAATTTCACAGTTGGCTGTTAGCCAATCAGAAACTAGGAATTTTTTAAATAAATAATAATTAACAATTATTCGCCGAAGGCGAGGTGATTATCGTGGAATATTTGCCGAGACGAAGTCGAGGTGAATATTCCCCGATAATCACCGAGCCTGAGGCGAATAATTGTTTTTGTATTTTTGCACAAGTTTATTTGTATTTTTCTGGTCTGAATTCATTTTAATTTCGCTTATTTCTTTATCACTAACTTCAACAAAACGGCTAGCCGCCATTTTGAAAATTTCGATTTTGTTATATTCACCTGTAGGTGAATATAACAGATTAATACGTCAAATTTGACCAATCACCTTGTATGATTTGTTATGTTCACTTGTGCAAAAATACTAATAACAATTGTTGAGGTTGATCGTGATATGAAGAATTATCAAGCCGAAAGTTTGTGTTATCAACATAGGCGTCGAAAGATCGATAAGTGTGGGGGGGGGGGCATATTCATATATTCGTGTTCACAGACCTTAAAAACAATCGATTTCAAAAGAAATTAACAATGCAGAACACAAATATATGAATATGGTCCCCCCCCACTTATCGATCTTTCGACGCCTATGGTTATCAACCGAAGCCTGAGTCATCTTTTAAATAAAAAATAATATCACTTGAAAGGTAACCGTGTGCCTTTAATGACTCTATTTAGGATGATCAGTCAGAAGTGCAAGAGAAGTTGGCCAGACCATGGTTGAAAGATTACGTTAAGGACCTTATGAAGTCAAGGTAAGAACGTGGATGATAGAAACCATGTCAAATGAATACAACTGAAACGCTACCTCCAACCGGAAATTTGAAGCCAAACTGAAGGCCAGTCCCAGTCTTTCACGCACGCGAAGAGCACGGTCAATCCGTCAAGATAATGAAAACTAGCTTAAAATTTATAAAAAGCTTTTTACAGCGCCCAAAGCTTTCTTAATATGCATTTATTTAGGTAAAACTTTCTATTAGACTTCACTTTTAGTTTTTTCTTATTTTTTTCTAATAATTGTTTACGCGAGAATATGTGGCTCAGATTTGGCTTCATGATAAAAATACATGTACAATTAGGCAGTTTATCTGAAGGTTGCTTTCCAGTTATATTCATTTCACTGATAGAAATTAGCCATTTCCCAAAGTCCCGAGTCTAGTCGCACGAATCCCATGTTGGAGGGACAAGAAATATGGCAGCACACATTTAAATTAAATGTTTAATGTAAAAAGTAGATATTTCATTTTTGGTCGTATCAAAAAGTTGATATTTGATAGCAGATACTTCTACTCTTTTACATATTTGACGTCTGTCACGATATATTTTGTCCCTCCAAACGATCCCAGAATGCACTGTGATCCCTTTTGGGAAAAGGCTAATTCAGTGAAGATCCCATGTGGAACACTGATCTAAAAGCCTAGGACTCACTAGGGACTGGATAGAGCATAATTTTGATTCAATGAAGCGAATATTGAAGCCAGTATTTCCACAGCATGACGTCATAACGTTGACGTCACTCCTTTGAATACACATACAACGCTATGACTTCACTCGACGGTGAATATAATGTTAAAACTCCATATTTGGTCAGCTATTAAGTTCATATGATGATTTCACTCTTGGCCAATCAGAAACCATGAGTCTTTTAAACAAATAATAATGATAATTATTCACTCGCAAATTGTAATTCAGAAGAAAGAGATCAGATCACTGGTGACTAATTTATATCAAGACAATACGTGTATTTTCTCAACAATAGGTAGAAGCTGTTCTACCTCGGTACCAGTAGATTTGTGCGTGGTCACTCCAATATGGCCAAAATTATTGTGGTGTTGTTCGTTGTGCGTGTATTGTATGCTCGCTTAACCGATAGCAAGTTATTCATGCACGAATTCAACAATTAGTCTTTCTCACGCCATGCGTCCAGGCCTTCTTTGCCATATTTTAGTGGCATTGGCAAGCTGTGCAACAACAAAGGATGACTTGATTTGGGAAAAAGACAATAAACATGACTTCACTGTAGTCAGTACACCGTTTACCGCCAGACGATCTCTTTTGCCAATGGGACAGTCCTTGAACAGAAGAGACTTTAAAACTGGGCCACTGCTAATCAGATATTTACCCCATTTATAGACCTTCCCGCGAATATTCAAGAATAGAGTTCTATTTGAGAAAAATTTACAATCCCGAGAAAAGTAAGTGCTTCAGATCCATGGATTTCCGATTTCCTATTTAAATTCAAAATTAATGCCTCAGCTAAACTAACGCCCGTATTCTAAAAGCTCACTCGCACTCAATGAGTAGTGGTTCAATCTGAGCTTCTCTTGAGTGTCAATGCTGTTTTTGAATAGCTGGAGGGTGAGTTGTCACATAGTAAGGTACGACACTAACCATCCAGCTGTTCAAAAACAGCATTGACACTCAAGAGAAGCTCAGATTGAACCTCCACACAGTGAGTGTGAGTGAGCTTTTAGAATACGGGCGTTATAGGTCTTCAGTTTATAAATTATACTGGATATCTCCATCAGATCTAAACTAGGTTTCTCTCGCAGGTTCAATTCCTGCCAGAGGGCCTATAGTTGCATTTTTCGCAACTGCTCCTGGAAGTCCTGGTTAGGTCTAATAAATCTATAAACTTTACACTCGAAATTTTCATCAAATTATTTTCATTTTAAAAGGATGACTACCAAGTTCCAAATATTTCTGTTTTTTGAAGATTTTAAGTTCTCAACACAAACTCTCTCCGTGGTCATGATCTGCTCTATTCTACTTTACGCGGTGAGTCATACAACTTTTAAATCGGTGTGTTATACATACCATAATTATGTTTTCTGAATATAATCAAACTTGTGTGCGTGTAATAGCTGTTATTGTGCTTATTATTAGCATGACAAAATTACTGGATGCTGATTGGTTGAGAGGAGTACAATTCATTAATTGTGCTGCAGTACAATTAATGATTTTCCCAAAACAAGCAAAATGGCGGAAAATATTTTAAGGCACAAATGTGAAATGAAATTGCCGTGGAAGAACTAGATGAAAATACGAACAAAAGGACCAAATTTTGCTTGAACAAAAGAACTAAATGAAAATACAAACTAAAGCACCACATTTTGGTTGAAAGTCTGGCAGGACTGGGTTTTGGCGAGAGATACGATGTTGACATTGACTGATTGAGAAGTACGTATCCAATTTTGTCATGCTAATATAAACAAGTACAGTAATCATGCGATGCTGCTCACACAATTGGGGATTAATGGTACTCATGATGTTTGTGTGATGTTACTCTGAGTGTGTATCCACACCGGGCAGGCTTGAAAAATATGCCTGGCCACGGCAGGATTCGAACCTACGAATCCCGCCGTGGCCAGGCATATTTTTCAAGCCTGCCCGGTGTGGATACACACTCAGAGTAACATCACACAAACATCTTATTCACCTGAGTACATTACACCAACACGGTACTCATGATGTTTGGAAATTTGCCAAATTGGACTCGCCCAGGCGGCTCGTCCAATTTTGGCAAAATGTCCAAACATCACTCGTACTATCAATCCCTAATTGTACTCGCCATCGCATGGGTTACCTATACAAATAGGGTTAATCGTAGGCCTCGCCCACACGTACTGTAAACATATGGTTGCGAATACGCCTTTCGTCCACACGTATCCGACAAAAACGCAAACTTCTGAAAACGGTCTCCAGAGTGAAAACGCAACGAATCTGGATACGCCTGCACGAATTGTAACCGGAACGTTTTGAAAACGATGACGTAAATATTTAATAAAATTTGAGATCCACCCACACTAGTAATAACACATAACTATATAGACCCATTGCACATGACGTCACAGCGCTGGTGACGATGCATCTGGAGGACCAATTAGCAATCTATGCATAATATGATTTTTGTAAACAAAGCAAATTTTGAATAACTTTATAATAATTTTGTATGAAAATGGTTAATTTTTGCGCTGTATGTGGTTGTTGTACCCGAACAGATATTGTTAGGGAGCATCTAGAGGACATTCTAGGAATTTGTGACGTCAGTGCAATGGGTCTATAGAATCCAGTCGCGAAGACTGCGCGAACTACACGCGTGGTTTGATTGAGATCACTCTATTGGCCGCCATGTTGGCTTCACTCAATCATAAGTCGGATTTGAATTGTTACTTTATTGGCTGTACCTGGCAAAAGGATCTAACTAAAATTCTTTTGTTCAGCAAAACGCTCCATAAGGACAATGTTAGGCATATTTTAACCTCGTCCCCAGGGCATTTTACCTCTACGGCTGAAGATCGGCGAAAATAGCCCTGGGATCGGCTGGTCACATGACACCCAGAATTTGTGGGTGTTTTGATACGATAATTTATGTGAAATTAAATCTTTTTGTTTGTTTACGAATAATAAATGTGAAGTAATGAACTATTTGCCAACTTATTCATCTAAAGACGTTATTTTAAAAGCAATATGCTTGCATAATTCTTCCTATATCGATGAGTCTGACAAACACATAGCACGGCAGGTATAGGACGTAAGTGAATCTTGAATTCTTACGTTTTCCGTATAATTTGACAACAAATCAAAGGAGACGAGCCAGGGTGCGATAATTCGCGTACTTACGTACCGGAGGCACGCTAATATTACAATATTGTACTTCTTAGTTTTTAACCAAGTACCACGTAGGTACCAGGTACTCTTGCTATCTGCGTACTTATTTTTGCTGGTACACATGACCTTTCTACGCCCAAAGTATTCAACGCCGTAATTTAGTTGGTGTATCATGTGTCTGAGATGTCTTGACATGAAACATGATTGGACTCATGGCACTAAGATACGTTGGAGTCGATTGTTTGTATTTTGCAAAATTTGTGCTTCTTTTTCTACCTCGTAGTCTGAACACACTTTTCAGAAACCTGTATTTTATGAACCTTATTTGACAGACTAAGTACACGTTGAGTGCTGAGTTTGTTCTAGCTCAAGTACGCGGCAACAACCATTGGCGTACCAGTTCGGGTACGACTAAAAATCTTGAATTATCGCTCCTTGAACGACTCACGGATCATATCTAATATTGTGTAATATTAGTAGAGGGAATAATGTGATTTCAGTAAAGTTGGAAAAAGAGAGAGAACATGTCGACGTTTCTTTATATATTCCAGGTAGTTTATCTGACGTTAAGTCTCAATTCTGGTCTCAAATGTTATCAGAACCCCAATTTCCAAGCAACGTTTGCACGATACACATGAATGGATATACCAAAATCTGATTACGAAAATATAGTGAATAGCAACATAGTAAAATAGATAATATACTAAATGTAAAATAGTGAATATAAAATTGTCAATTTAAAAATAGTCAATATTAAAACCCAGCAGAAATAACTATATAACCAGACACATTACTAAAATGCGATGCCCAACAAATAAAACTTCCGGCGTTTCCGCCTAACTGCCTACAAGTAAAGTTATATTATATAACGAGGAAACCAACGATATGCCTACCAAAGTTAGCAAGGATCAAACGTACTGCATTTTTAGCTATTAGTTGAATAATTTTGAACCAATTTGTGAACAATACAATTTTGTTTGACTCTCAAAGGCCATAAATCGCTAGAATAATGTTGTTTAGTAATACATTTGACATCCGTAGGTACAATTGTTTTCGCTGAATCGAACAGTGGTATTTTTGTCCTTAGTGGACAGAGATAACGCGCAGCAAAAAGTTGTCACCGCAATATCAAATCCAGACCACACATGGAAATTCATCCAAAAGCATGATGTTTTGCAAGCGTTGTGAAAACAACCAATCACGAGGCATTCTAAACCAGTCTGACCGGTCCAGGCGCGCAAAGCAGGCTGGAGGAGCACAAAAGAAATAGTTGATTCTGTGGTTGATAGCAAAGACTCGCAAATACTTCCACGGAGTATCCATGAGTCAAAAATGTTAAAGCACTAGGGTTGTTTGAATAAATTATACTGAAAAGGAATCATTGCGTTTTTGAACAGACCAATGTGATAGTAGAATTGATCAGCTGATCTCAGGGCCACTTTTTCCGACCTTCAGCCGTGGAAGCAAAATGGCCTGGGGACGGGTTTGGCATAATTTGTTTCCAGAACTATTGCTAAATGCTAATACAATATCAAGTACATCGTCTTGTGTTTACACTGAGACAGATCATACGTCAGACCAATCGTTGCAGTCTAAACAAGTGATCCTGCTCCAGTATAAATCGGATCAATGTTCCCTTGTATAGATCTCACTATTTGGTTTGTATTTTGCAAGTTTGTACCTGAACATAGTTAATAAAGCTGCCGACTCTCTTCTAGCCAAGGTTCGACGTGGGGTTGCTGGTTAGTTCTCTCAGAAATATCTATTTTATGTTTTCCTGTATTATATTTAAGGATATCGGCAGTAAAAGTTCTGTTTATCTGGTAGAAAATAACTTGTAAAACCCTTAGTGTTGTTTATCTTGTGACCTTTCGATCTCCCCCCCTTCCCAAAAACAAAATATGTCCCCCTCTTCGGAGATTTCTTCCACATCCCTACGGTGGAAGGGTGGTGTTTATCCCCCCATCCTCAACATTCCTTGTGTGTTCACTCCGGTTTACTGTGGATTTTCAGTAGAGCGTTATCATAAATCCACGGCGCGAATCGAACACACGTTCTCAGAGTGAAAGGCGCTTGCTTTGACGATTGTGTCACCGAAGCCCCTAGTAGCTCGATCTTTCTAACAAGACCAACTAGAAATTTTATTGCCGATGTCTTTATACTGAAGTCGGTTGTTATAAATATATTCTTTAGAAAATGCAACATATTTCTCAACCCTGCCGAGGCTTATACATTTTATAACGTTTTTTTGTTTAGGTTCGTTCATCGGTGCTTTTATTCTTGCTGCCATATTCTCTGTTTTCTCTCTTATACGTTTCATGGAAAATCATAAGTAAGAGTTATTCTCCTCGAAATAATCACTTAGTTCCTTGTACTCTAACCTGGGATGATAGTTGGGATCACAGGATGATAGTTGGGGTCACAGGATGATAGTTGGGATCATGAGATGATAGATACGTTCAGCTGATGGTAGAGTTTGGATGGTAGAGTTTGACAGAGCCCAGGCATGGCTGTTGTCTTTTTTCGCCCAGACACGTTATCAAGTGTTGAGCGAGTTGAGGCGCGTGACATTGTAATTGCCTCTTTAGGGCGCAATTCCAGTCCTCGCACGAAGCTCCTCGCAGCTCGCTGCGAGTGCATGCATGAGCTCTTTCATCCAATCACAATGCTTAAGAGTTAATTTTAATTAGATGCAAGCACTCGCAGCGAGCTGCGAGGAGCTTCGTGCGAGGACTGGAATTGTGCGTTTAGGTAATTATGAATTCGTTATAATATATATTATCTCGATAAGTGGTAACAATATATATTATATCCCAGGGACAATGTGATTAGAAGCGAACTTTCTCTAAGCCTCATTTAAATGTAATAATTTTCTTTTTAGTAACGACCAGAAGGCTTTTTTATCACAAATTTAATATATTGTAACAACGTTTCAACGAGTTTACTCCATCATCAGGTTACATTTATACGCACTAAAAAACCCGTTGGGAAAAAAAAGGCCTTCTGGTCGTTACTAAAAAAAAATTCCAGGGACAGTTAATGACTCTAAGGCGTAATTGTTCGTAGTAAGTACACGATTTAATCACCGCGGCACATCAAACAAAACTGCATTATGAACTATGTACTAGTTAAATTCCCGCACCCCTGTGTTTTCCTTGACAAGTTCTTTAGCAGATTTTTCTTGACAAGTTTCCTTTACTAGTATTCCTTTACAAGTTTTCTTGACGAGTTTTCCTTGATAAATTTACTTGACAAGTTTTCCTAGTGTGTCGTATAACTTCATATATAACTTCATGAAGTATTCGTCGAAAATTAGCTTATATACTGTGCATCGTTTAAGAAACTGGACTTTTTACAAAGCCTAGTTTACATGAGCAAGTCATATTTTGCAAGTTTCACTTTGAAAAATTTTATTTGCTGGTGTAAATTAGAAAATATCGCAAAGTTTTTATTGACAAGCGCACTTGTTGAAAAACTTGCATGCCAGCTCTTCAACAAGTTCCTTTGTTCAAACTAAAGCTGTCATGTCGCTAAAATTGCCCGTGTAAATGACATGCCAAGAAAAATGTGACAAGTAAAGAATTGTTCAGTGTTTACAATGGCAAATACAACTTACCAAAGGAAACTTGTCAGTTGTCAAACGAAAATCATTTACTATGTTTAATGTCTTTAATCTCTCACAAACCTCTTTCGTTATAAAAATGAGATAACAGATTATAATCTTCGAAATATTTCATCTGGTCTTTGTCTACCACAACCACGCACCAATAGCATGAAAAATACTTTCATGTATGATGGTACTAAACTATGGAACTCTATCCCAAATGAAATCAGGGAAAGTCAATCCCTGTCAAGCTTTCAAAAGAAAATTGCTGCTCATATTTTCTAAGACTACTTGTTCTACTACTTGTAAATAATCATTCTACCATTCCTACTATCTAGCTAATTTGTACTTGTTACTATACCTCATATTTGTAAATAACTATATTTATGTAATATTTCGCTTAAACTACTGTAATTTTTCTTATGCATGACACGCCCCCTATGGAAATCAGCTTCGGTTGATTGGGTTAGCGTGGGTAAATAAAGTTTTTCTATCTATCTACTATCTATCTTTAATGTACACGAGCATGTTCAATTAGCCTTTCTCACGCCGCCATTTTTGGGTGGCATTTCATCCAAAGTCTGCGAGATAAGTCCACATAACAGCGACTTTTTATAATTTTTTGAACGAATGATGGTAAATTCGCTTTGTAAATGGTTAGTTTATTTTGAAAAATTGCTTTTCACATTGTGTTAATTGTCTGCATTGGTTAACGAGAATTGGTTGCAACCCAAGAATGGCGGATATTCGTCATCGTGAGAAAGGCTAAATTTGCCAAAAGAAGATTGTTCGTATAAACTTAGACTTTATAATAAACATCATTGAATTTTTCTTTTATAATTTTATACTCTTTTTCTATTTTCGCCAGGAATAACATGCTAAGGATGTTCAAAGGAGATAAATCGTTTATTCCTAGGTTTATGAATGTGTCACAGTTTATGATTGTAAGTTTACTGATACTTCCGTTTTAGTTTGGAATTTTAATTTTCATCATACAAATGTAGGCACACGCCTTGGTTTAATATTCCCCAAGATATCAAGATTGTTTGTTAGACTCTGCCTTGGCCATTCTCTGTAGTCTAAAAACTTGTTTTTCAGTAGTCTCAAGTCAAGATCTGTTTTTCAGTAGTCTCAAAATTTGTTTTTCAAATCCTACTTGTCAACAGTTGGAAATGTTGATTCGTGTTAGTCGACGAGTTGTTTAATGAGTCGACAAATAAAAATGTCGAACAAACGCGTTAACAAACGATTTGACATGCATACAGGGATTAATACAAGCATTTTAGTCTACTACCTTTTTTTCGGAAGAAGATTGCAAATAAATGAGTTTTAGATGGAGAACAGTACCTCGCTTCTGCCTCCCCCCCGGTAAAGTTCTTGATTTTGTCTCTATAACAACATTTCCAGCATGCAGACATAACCGTTTTTAAACTGGTTGAAGAATATATACAACGATCAAGTACTTCCTTTTACAGTTAATTCACATTTACCACCATTTCGTCAAAGTATATATATATATATATATATATATATATATATATATATATATATATATATATATATATATATATATATATATATATATATATATATATATATATATATATATATATATATATATATATATATATATAGTTACGGAAGTTTTAATATTCATGCACTTGAAGATTTTTTGCTACCGTACACCTGTTGTAGAAAAATGTTGTATAAATCCCTGGTATGACACCAGTAAATAAAACATGGCAGCAACTAGTTAAATGTGACTGTCCTGAATGTCCTGAATATATCGTTCTTTTTATTAGGGAAAGGGTTTGAGATATCACAGTTTTCAAATTGGCTACTTTATGTGGGGTAGGTTTTTTGGTTAAGTAAAATGTGTCGCTATTGGGTCGTCACCAACATATGTGAACGGGCTTTGCTTTATGGTGGTTGGTGGCACCGAAGAGAAATGTTTTTCACAATGAGTAGCGATTGGTCAAAGACCACTATTGGCAACGTAATGGCCAATCATATGCTTTGTTCGCAAACGACTTGTTTATAAATTTAACAATAGATGTGAACTTGGTCCAACCAACTTTTCAACCACCAAAAAACCCTTACTTCAACTATATCGAAATGTCACGTAACGTTTTCTGTCCCTTTATTCACATAAACGAAAGTATTAGACATTTTTAAGTCAACATTCTTAAGCATCACCAGCTCCTCTTTCAATTTTTTATCAAAGTGCATATAAAGCGAAAATGTTATTGTCTTATTAAAATGCAAAAGAACTCTTAAATCTGCATTGCAATAACTCTTAAATTAAGAACTTTTAAATTTCCAATGCTTCATTCAGGGTCGAGATATTTCGACTTGCGTCATATTGAAATGAGATAATATGGTATTTGGCAAGGTTTTTACACCTCTTTTTTTAACTTTCTACAGGCTACATTTTGCTCATGCTCCTGTTTTTTGTTATCTTCTTTTCTATTTTCTGCCTGTCGTTTTCCATCGTTCGAGGTTTGGTTGCGAGCTGGTTTGAAGGAGGAGGGTAAGTGTTCATCACTACTCAGCGATTATACATATGTAATGTCATAGCTACCTCGAAATCCTTTGTTTCGCGAAGGACGATTAATGACTAATTTACCTCATTGCTAAAACATGAGGGACGATTAGAAACTAATCATCCCATGGGACGATTAGTTACTAATCGTCCCTTTTTTATGCATAACCTCTTATACAGCTATACAGGGTGTCCCAAAAAAACAAAAAAACCATTGAAATAACGTATTGTTAAAATTTGAATGCCCTAGCACTAAGCCGAACCCAAAGTGCCAAAGATGCGTAAAATATTGACAAGGGTGCATATATTAAATATTGACTTAATAAGAAATTAAAATATCTTTGTAAAGCGCACGATTTTCTGCTTCTTAAACGGGGTTTTTACGCATAAAATTTACTTACGTCCAGCTTTGATGCACGTGTGGGTTCAGCAGAGTGCTGAGGCATTCAAATTCTAACAATACATTTATTTCAATAGTTTTCGTTTTTTGAGGACACCCTGTATAGGGTGTCCCTCCCAAAAACCCCCCAAACTATTGAAATAACGTATTGTTAGAATTTGAATGCCTCAGCACTCTGCTGAACCCACAAGTGCATAAAAGCTTGATATAAGTAAATTTATGCATAAAGAAACAGTTTAACAAGCTGCTTTAAATTCCCAAGACCAGAAAATCGTGCGCTTTACGTATACAAAGATATTTTAATTTCTTAATAAGTCAGTATTTATATAATATATGTACCCTTGTCAATATTTTACGCATCTTTGCTTTCAGCTTAGTGCTATGGCATTCAAATTCTAAGAATACGTTGTTTCAATAGTTTGGGGGGGGGGACACTCTGTGTTGATGTTCAATTAAATATTTAACAGACATGAAAAATCAACCATAACCTCATTAACGAACATCCCAATAGTCATTAGTATCAAAAAGGCAAACGCGCCTTTTCATTTCAACTTATTCAATCAAATAAAACCGTTTTATTGTCTCAGTAGCTGTGATATTACAAAGTGATAGCATGGCATTCAGGGCGATTAGTGATGAAATAGCCCTCGAGCCTCGAGAGGTTTAGTAAAAGCTCCTGAAACGCGCATTATAGGTGTTGGGCGAATATGTTTTTAAAGTTTGGATCAAAATCTCGGGACAAAACATTTCTGACCATCGATGAATAATTTTTGTATAACAGGTTTTTTTCAGGTATATATATACAGGGTGTATCAAAAAAAGCGCAACCTCGGAATTTCCCAAGAAATCGACATTGTTTTAAAGACAAAAGATTTTAGGCGCCTGGGAATTTAAAATAGCATAACTGTCAAAATTACTGCACACGCGAGTGCATAAAGCAAAATTTATGCATTTATTTAATGCACAACAACAGTAATATGATCTATTAGCAATTCGATTTCAATTCCCACGGGCTTAAAATCTTTTATGCTTAAGAATTGCAAAGTGATTTCTTAGGAAATTCGGAGGTTGCGTTTTTTTGATACACCCTGTATAGTTCATTGTAATTTCATCTGGGCAAGTGGATGAAAAACTCAATATTAACACACGGAAATATTCGTTCCGCTGCACTAAAAACGCGCAAGTTTTTGCAGATCTGCAAACAAGTTGTAACAAGGTCGTTGTCAAGCCGATATTAGGATATGTTCCCATTGCTTGTTCCCAGTTGTTGTGACAAGTATGGAACAAGTTGTATCACCTTGTCACAAGATTTATGATGTTAGCAGACTTGCAACAAGATTACTACATGCTGTTCATCACAAGTTGCTACGAGCTTGTTGTCATCAACTTGTTAATAACTTGTTAGGTGCAGACGATATCAGACTTGTTGGAACAACTTGTTGCGAGTCTGTTGACCTCATCAACCTTGTTACAAGATGATAACAACTTGTGCCAGACAAGCGAATACATCTTGTTGACAAGCAGTGTGAAATTTTTATGCGTGCATGCGAGACGTCACGGTAAGCAAGATTAGGTATGCAGGCCCCAAACCCTAAATGGTATTCATCTCAAATAATTCTGCATGTTAACATTTTATTTAGCGTTCTCTTTGCCGTGGCTTTTCTTACTCGCTTGTCTTTGCCAGTAACTGCGATGACAATATTTCGTGATCACAACTATTCTAAAGACGTCATATCTATAAATAACAGGTATGTGTAACGTTACATCCGAGGGGTCACTGGGTAGAATGTTGGATTCGAGGAGTGTGTTAGACCCCGTTCGCATGAGTACCGGGGCGAATTCAAACCGGAATGAAAGTTGAAATTGTCAACATGTTTGCATGAGAACGGTATACGAAGTCAAGCCGGAATGAAAATTGAAATTGTCAACATGTTTGCATGAGACCGGTACGAAAATCACAAAATTTTCAATTTATTCCCCTTGCCAGGCAATTTTCTTTTTTAGAAGGCTTTTGGTAGCATGTGTTGTTCCAATGTCAAGGTTACAGCCGAGACCGTTCTGAAATGTATTTGTGTTTACATTCATCCCGGTTTGAATTCATGCCGGTCTGAAGTCAGTCGGCTCGGTCCAGCAGGCGGAATGACTTGAGACCGGTCTGAGTTATTTTCGTCCCGGTCTCATGTAAACATCTTTAACATATTTGTAACTTACTTTTATATACTTTTTTTAGATAAACTTTATTCTCATAATTACCATTGTTGTAAAGTAACACGCAATCCAGTCGTACTCGGCTGCATTGTGTTTTCTTATTAAATCTATCTATCTATCTATCTATCTATCTATTATAAATAGTACAATGACCGAAACGAACTGGTCCCGGTTTGCCTTCGTTCCGGTCTCATGTAAACGGGGCCTTACTCCAAAAGATCTCGTACACCTAGAAAAATCTCTAAAAATTTCAACAATCCTTAACCATCACTAAAGTCCCGAAAAGTCCCAAATATTCCCTAAAAATCTCACTGATTTTTACACACCTTGGACTTGCAGTGGTGTCAAGTAATGAAGTAAATGTACTTCGTTGCTGTACTTGAGTACTATTTTTGAGAAGTCAGCATGTAACCAAGTAAACTTTTTCTGGAGTACTTTTACTTGGAACAAAGTCGTTTCAATAAGTAACGTTTTACTTCGTTATTTTCATTTTGTGGCGTAACTTTCTGACTTTTGTTTAATTTTACGTGATTTATCCGGGATTTATTTTAATTTTGGGTAGGTAATAGGACCTCTACATGCGTCTAGGATCTCTCGTTTGTGGCTTACTTATAAGCATTATTAATATTTAATTATATTAATATAATTTTCTTATATCTTCAACGGGGTCTGGAATGTATACCATGGCGCGAAATATTTTGTATTATAGGTATATTATAGGTGCGCGCATATAATTGTGCTGTTTCGTGTCTTTTGTATTGGGGAATACCTCCGCTCCCTGCACGCTACAGACAATAGTACATTTACTTTTTGTTTCAAGTATTTTTTAAGGACAGTTTGTATTTTTTACTTAAGTACGTTTTGTACTTTTTACCCTTACTTATAGTTGTTTTATTGTTAGTTACTTTTACTCGAGTACAAATTCAAAGTAATTTAGGCACCACTGCCTCGGAGTGATACACCCCTCAGTTCCATTATAGACTACCTACTGTAAAACATCAAATTTTTCCCAGAAACGTCTACTTGGTGTTCTCGTATTTCTGGTTTTTCTTGGGACTTCCCATGGGTTTCTTCTCCGCCATGTTTCGAATCTTGAAGACAATGGCTGTGGGAGCTCTGATGTTACCAAGAATTGATCACAGCTTAATGCCGGATGGTTTTCAACGGCTTGACGGAGGTAACGAACTTTTGTAAGGGATTAGCTGGAGCATTCCATGGGCCGTGAGCTTGACCGCTGCACCGCCGCCCCCCACTGAATTTTTCCACCTCCCCACCATTTCCACCAAAAACCGGCCTTGTGATATACAAAAAACGGGCTAGACTAAAGCATAGGTATCTTATATACAGTAGACAGCGCATCTCTTTTAGTAGTAAAATTGAAGCCAAGAATATTCCAGCGGTTACCCCCATTTGAATAGATGGCGGCCATGTTGAAGTTTCCCACTCGCTAATAAACGCTTAAAAAACAATAACTTTCATCATTTGAATAGTTTGAAAATGTTGTGGAATAGGTTTAACTTAATGTTTAAGTTCCCTGTTTAAGAACTAGAAAACATACTAGTCTTCTCATTTCATGGGAATATCCTGAGTCTGCAATCAGGACTTCAATTTTTGAATTGCAGAATAATTATATGCACTATCTAGTGTATATAAGATATCTATGCACTAAAGACTATTTCATGTCAGTGGCCATGACTTGGTCTATGTCTTGGGCGTAACACACCAACTGTAAAACTATAATTTTACTGTTTTTAATTATAGGCTGCTGTCTTTTTGGCTAACGTTATTATTTTGTCTCTTTGAAAGGTTTCAATGCGTACATCTGTTATCTTCACGTACAAACAGCTTACAGAAACCCTGTTCTTCGAGTTTTCTGTCAAATATTGAGCGATGAAACACGTAAGTATTGGCAATTTATACAGTATAGCAATGTTAATGGCAAATCTATTAGATTTTCTCACTTTACTATTAGTAATTAGGTATTATTAAGTAAACTTGTTCAAATTAACTACGAATTTCTTCTTTCACAAGTTGTCAAGTGTGGCTATCGGTACTTCCAGAAAAGAGACGAAGTCGAGGGAAACATTAAGATTCAAGGGAAAACAAAACTAACTATTTCCCGAGGGAACAGGCATTAAGTGTTTTGTTATATAGCGACGAACAAAAATCAACTTCAACAACATTCATACAACAGTTGTATTTCGTGACGAAAACTCTATAGTGTAAACGAGTTTAAAATTAAAAGAACCTACTTAAACGGTTTCAGCAGCATATCCTGTTGCCTGTTGTGTATTTTTCTTCTCTTTTATATTCTTTATTTGAACACAAACTTGGAAAATCGTAGTTTCTAATTATCTGAGTTTTGCCTCCATTTTGTTTATTTATGTACGTGGCCGGTCGGGGCGGGCAACAATTTTTCACTTGTTGCCCGGCGGGAAACATTGCATTTATCTGAAGTCACGTGACCACAAATCAGCCAATCACGTTTGGTGTTCACGCTAGCTATATATAAATAATACTTTATATTGTATCATAGGACACAACAGGGAACGAAAATGGACATATTCAGCTCAAGCTCGTGCCAGATGGTTCCTTGCCCTTACCTTGGCCCGCAATCCACAACTAGCGTCGAACCGTAAACTTGGTGGTTTTAAAGCAGGAAAAGCACCTCAACCTGATCAAGGTGGTTGTGTCGAACATGGCGACGTCAAAATTGAAGTTGGTCGGTATGGATTAATGCAAGATAAGTGAATGATATACAGTAGTGCAGTAAAAACCCACATAAAAGAACCACCAGTTTTATATCAGGCTGAAGTTCTTTCATAATAGTAGCCTGCGCGCATTCTCATGACATCGATCAAATGATGTAAGAGGCTGCGCAACAATGAAGCAAAGCTTGCCCCAAACTTTTCCAGGTTTTCCGGGAAAAATAATTTTTGCGAGAAAATTAATACGTTGATTATGCGGAAACGTTCATATGCATGTCAATGTCAACATGGCGCTTCACAGTCCGGAATGCGGGTTCGACCTCAGTGGGTTCGACGAAGGTTCGACCCTCGACCTACGTAGGTTTTTAGAAACAATTAACATGGCTTGCTTTTTGCTACAAGTGAATTTTGGCGGGATGTATACATGCGACGGATCATGTAGAAATATTTGTTTGTCAGTGCGGCATATCGGGACAACAAAATACTCTAATTTGTGACTCCGTTTCGCGTAATTGCCAACGACAATAGGATCTGTTGCTTTTGATAGTAATGGACCTTTCCCCTTATAACTAAAATTTCGATCTAGACAAAAATTTCATTACAGCTTGAAAGAGCATCACAAAATTAGTAATATTCCAAAGTTTTGTTGCAAAATCGTGTAAAATGCGGATAATACAGCCTTGCGAAGTTTGCCCGTTTTCAGTCATTTTGTATCACAAACGGGAAATTGACATCCGATTCGGGTGTTGGGGCTGCAATTTCCCGTTTGTAATGCAAAATGACTGAAAATTGCAAACTTCGCAAGGCTCTATTTTCCTCATTTTACAACATTTCGCAACGAAACTTTGGAATATTACTAATTTTGTGATACTCTTTCAAGTTGTGATGAAATATTTGTCTAGACTTGCCTAGATCAAAATTTTGGTTATAAGGGGAAAGGTCCATTCCCAACATTCAGACTGGTTGTTCTTAGAAGACCCACTGGATCTTAATCCACGGGTTTTTACTGTATGCTGGGTCTGTTTACTTCTCTTTACTTTTTTATGTATTTTATATTTGAATATCGGAATGGAAAGTCCACTTGAAGACAAATGGCTAAATTCTTATCCTATTTAAAGGCTAAGGAAATCTTGACATTCTGAACATGTTGATATTTTGGTAAACGTGATACCTTTTCTATATTATAGCATAAAATGTGCAACTAGTTTATCCACTTTTAATTTCAAGTACGGTGACTCAATAGAGGTAGCTTAAATACCTACAGCTGTGGTCAAAAGTTTACATACACTGTATTTTGTGTGATATATTTGCAATATGTAGATAAGGGCTGAACCAAAAGTGAACTACTGCATATTCATAATCAAAACAAACAACAAAGTTATTCACACAACAATTTTTAACACACTCTATCCATTATTGTAACAAATTGAAGGAAAAGTTTGTGAATTGCCTAAGTCAAAAGTTTACACACAATAGGCATGTTCATTATTAATACTTAGTTGCGTGGCCTTTAGCCTTCTGAACAGCAATCAAACGTTTCTGATAACCATTCACAAGTTTTTGACAGAGTTCTGGTGGGATGTTTGACCACTCTTCCTGGCAAAATTTATGAAGGTCATGGAGATTTGCCGGTTGTCTGGCACGAACTCGTCGTTTCAACTCGGTCCACAAGTTTTCGATCGGGTTAAGATCTGGGCTTTGGGATGGCCATTCCAAAACCCTTATCTTCTTTTTCTTAAGCCATTGCGAGACTATTTTAGCTGTATGTTTCGGATCATTGTCATGTTGGAAGGTCCATCTTCGACCAAGATGCAACTTTCTGACTGATGGTTGGAGATTGCTCTGAAGAATTTTCAAGTAATCTTCTTTTTTCATGATTCCATCTACTTTGGCGAGCTCACCTGTTCCACTAGAAGCAAAGCAACCCCACAGCATGATGCTCCCACCACCATGTTTTACAGTCGGTATGGTGTTTTTAGGATTGAATGCTTCTCCAACTTCTCTCCAAACGTACTTCTGGTCATTATGGCCGAAAAGCTCGATTTTCACTTCATCAGATCACAGAACGTTATTCCAAAAATCATCTCCTTTATCCATATTCTCACAAGCATATTTCAGACGAGCTTGGAGATGCCTTTTTTGCAGTAGAGGTTTCTTTCTTGGACGGCAGCCCCTGAGTCCATGACGATGCAAAATTCGCTTGACTGTAGACAAGGATACCTGCGTTCCTGCATCTTGCATTTCGCGACAAACATGCTTCTTCGTTGATTTTGGATTGCTTCGAACCATCCTAACCAATTGTTCAGCAGTAGCAGATAACAATGGTTTTCTTCCCGACCGTGGCAAGGTGTGAATCATACCAACGGATTTGTATTTGCGAACTATTGTGGCAACAGATTGCTTAGGAATCTTTAATCGTCTTGAAATCTTCCCCAAAGACGATCCGGTTTTGTGGAAATCAACAATACGTTGTCTAAGTTCTATACTGTGTTCTTTAGCCTTTCCCATCATCATCCAATTGCAAATGCGTTGCAAATGATCACAGTTCATGCCGATTTATAAGCCATGCACTGGGAAAATCGCAGTAATATTCCAGTAATATTACATAGTAAGCATCTATTGTTTCGCTTTACATTAAAGGCTTAATATGTAAAAAGTATTTTTACTTTAAGCCGCGTTTTACAGCATCACGGTCATGACGCACGTGAGTTGTATGCAAATTTTTGACCTGGTCATTCTCTGCTCGTTCTTTTGTTACTAGTGGAAAATTATGTAAATTCGTTTCCAACGTTTAGCATAAACAAATTAAGTATATTTGTTTTCATTATCCACATAAATTGACATATTTTTCTATCGTTCTTTGCAAACAAATAGCCAATAAGCCAACATGTATGCATTGTATGTAAACTTTTGACCACAACTGTATATTTGTTAACAAGCTGGGAGATAAGTTGTTTCGTTCTTGGGATATTTAAAGGCACAGTTCAGCCTGTTGAACGATGGTTTTTAAGGCGCATTTCAGCCCTGTTAATTGAAAAAACTAACTAGGAAAATCAATTAAGCATAATTCAAAATCACCAATCTTAATGTTTTTAACATTTTAAAACATTCATATTGTTAAAAACATCGAGTTTACTGATTTTGAATTATGGTTAATTGATTTTCCTAGTTAGTTTTTTCAATTAACAGGGCTGAAATGTGCCTTAAAAACCATCGCTCAACAGGCTGAACTGTGCCTTTAAGGTGGTCTTCCACCCAAATTTTCCAAGATTCGTTATTTTTTAGAAAAACGTAAAAATGTAGTCTTTATATCGTTCTTTATAAAATCCGTGTAATTTTAAGAACGAAAATGTACCGTAAACCAGAGAAATCCAGCAAATTCTACACCTTCGTAGGGTAAAACCACGATTTTACCCGGAGCGATAAAGATATGCGATTGGTTTAGTCTATTGTTCCATTTTCAATTATATTGTTCTACTAAGTTATTCTAATATATGCAAAAACTTTAAAATCGCTTTTCTCACATGAGCATTTTGCGAAATACTAAAAACTCTCCTACTGTTCATACTGAATCAATTCGTTCGAAATTTTCAGAGTTTATTTGCTTGTTACATAGCCATGTCATGGACCTAAAAAACTTCATATATCAGCAATATACATTGCAAGAGTAGCCTTATAAGAACCCCTTTCTTCATATAATTTTAAAAAAGTAAAATATGAAGGCCTTATTATATTACTTGTATATTTTTTTAGGTTCATGACATAGATCGATGTATTAAGTGTCCATTAAAGCTGTTTCTAAAATCCTCGGTAAATTAGTTTGGCTCACATCATTTTTGGAGCAAACCCTATATTTTACCCTATAGCGAGGCCTATCTTAGTTACTATGGCAACAACGAATGTAAAAGTTACTGATCCTGCGTCAGCTGAGGATATTCCATCATATTTGACTCAAATATGATGATAAAACCTTTAAATTGAAAAAAATGTTTTTAGGGTGGAAGACCCCCTTAACATTTATACGCAAATTATCCTCAATATGACGTCATATTGTATGACTTTCTGAAAAAAATTCAAGATCTTGCGATAAATTGAAAAAAATGTTTTTAGGGTGGAAGACCCCCTTAACATTTATACGCAAATTATCCTCAATATGACGTCATATTGTATGACTTTCTGAAAAAAAATCAAGATCTTAACGATATTGTGCATCGAAATCATAATATACCGTGTGTTATGTCAACAAATATATGTTACATGTTGACAAATTTGAATCAATGATTTATAAGGGGTGCCCTCCCCCCCCCCCTATATAAGAGTTCTAAAGGGTTTTTTAGGTAGCCATTTTGCAATTTGACCGCACAGTGAGGAGAATTTGTATATCAAACATTGTTACTTACAGTCAAAACGAGTGTTCTCTTGCAGAATACATTGCAATATTGCTCTGCAACATTGCAATGTTGATTGTCAATCTGGCTTGATCAATTTGGAAACGTGTGTAGTGAAGGTTCCTCAGCATATTCTCTAAAGGCTTCACTTTTTTCCAAAAGGCTTCACTTTTTTCCAATGCAAATTCATATTTTAATACAATACTGCTGTGTGAGTGGGAAGCATTTTCTCTCAGGCAGTTTAAATACGAAAATGTTGAATTTCTGATGTAACCGGACGTCAATCTTCCCGAAACAGTTGCAAGTTGCTCAATATTGCGTGGGCTCTGCAATGTAACGCGCAAGAGAACACCCGATTTGACACCCGACTGTAAATTTCTCGAGAAAGAATCAAGCTAAGATGGCAAGTATCTTGCCCATCATTTTGAATTTTCTATACAATGCATTCATAAAACTGGCTGTGAAATTTCATTGCATAAACACATTAATTATTCTTGCTCGTCGTACTCATCGGTTTTAAAACTACTCTTGCGCGGAAAAGCGTATTGCCTAAACTAAGCGTATTGCCACGCAGGTTACGTGGAAGGCGGCTTATTTACATCTCTGTGCGTGTATTTCAGAGGTTGTATTTAGTGGCAATAGTACGAGATTGTTTTAGTGGTGGAAAGTTTTTATACTAATTATTAAATACTTTTACACGATGCCACTGTCTAAAAATGTGTTGTGTTGTTGTGTTGTGTTGTGTTGTTGTTGTGTATCTGTTCACGTGTCAATGCTGTAGCGCATTGTATGTTGGCCAAACACGCCGACACATTCACACACGTATCTCAGAGCATATGGGAGTCTCGCCTTTGACTGGAAAAGAACGCTCTATCTCAACCATGTCTGGTATACTCGCTCACAAACACATGCACAAACACCCAGTCTCCGCTTCTGATTTCAAAATTCTATCATCAGGCACTTCTGAGTGGGATCTTCTTATCCGTGAAAGCCTATTAATTTCTCAACTTAACCCTGTCCTTAATGCTAATATTAGATCTACCCCTCTTGAGTTATTTTAGTTATGTAGTATTAACCTTAACTATACTAACCCTGCACTTAACATTAATCTTTACTTATTAACTAGTTACTGATCAGTTGTTTTTCTTTCTTTCTATTCATTTGTTCTTTCAAATTATGTAACCGTTTTTGTATACCATACCCTGTAAATTCATTTAGATTGCTCTGAAGATGTTGTATTGTAAACAACGAAACGTTAGCTAATTAAAATTTTTACTTTTATTATGTTTGGTTTTAAAGTTATTTTTGCTGGGCTTTGCATGCTTTTTGTGGCTAGCCCGTTTGCGGGCTAGCCACTATCACATACACAAACGCGATGAGCGATGATGATCATGGTGTCCAGTCCGGATTTTCGTAAAGTATCGGGAGCAATCGGAAGCGCCCGTATTTTTCTGCCGACATTTCACATTTGCATTTCGAGGCAATACTAGTGATGTTGTTAGTTTGTTACGACGCAGTACTGGTGAGGTTGTTAAACCAGAAAATTAAAATAAAGTTTATCTTCATGGCTTCAACCTATGGTGTCGAAACCGATCAGAAATTGCGCGTACTCGCCGTGTAAATATGGCCATATGGGTTTTGATTTGCACTTTTGACTGATTTGCGGGCCATTTGCCATCTTGAATTGTCTTCTTGTTGAGATTTCATATCTCAATTGCATTCGAAATGTTTGGTATTTTAAAGAAGGGGTATTGTTTGGAGGAGGTTTATAATGCAGCGAATAAAACCAGCATTGGATAATTATGGTAAAAGACCAGAAACTGTACATCGAACTCGTTTATTGAAAGGCTTTAAGTATACCTTTCTTCAGACATTGACGGATTAACCTATAAAGGATTAACCTATAAAGGATTATTGCGTCTGTCTTAGGAGTTATATAGTCGAATAATTCAGCATGATTTGTCTCACGTTCTCTTATAAGTTGACTAATATTGCATTAAAAGTGGTAAAAGTTGGTGTGCTAACCAAGATTTCAGTGTATTTGTTTGCTAATATTGCTAGGCCTATATCTCAAACGCTATTTGCCTATTAAAATATCATATGACACGCAATTTTAATTCCACGGCAAAACTGCTGTTTCGCAAATAACAAACGCGAGATTAAATAAATATGGCAGTATTACAGTTTAGTAATATTGCATTAAAAGTGGTAAAAGTTGGTGTGCTAACCAAGATTTCAGTGTATTTGTTTGCTAATGTTGCTATATCTCAAACGCTATTTGCCTATTTGAAATATCATATGACACGCAATTTTAATAGACCACTTCGGCTGTTTTGTGTTAAGTGGAAACACGTGCTCGCGAAATCGGAAACTCGGACAAACATGGCGGAGCGTAATACAAATGCTATTCAAAATACACAAATGTTTCGGCCATTTAATAGATAAATTTGCTCGCTTTCGTCACGAAACAATAGTCAAAATGGAAATTATGTCACGAGAAGAGAAATTCAAAGCCACGAAGCTGCCGGAGCTCAAAGCGCAATTACAAAATCGAGGAATTACCGTTAACAGTTTACCTCAAACCCGGACTCGTAGCTATTGCTTGTGCCGTCGCAGACGTTTTTCATTGCTTTTTCAAGTCAGTGAAGCCGAAGACCACTTAAATCTAAGCCGTCGTTTGAAAGTTCACGATATTCAGCTGCCTGATCCTTTTAAAATGAATGTTTTAAACGATTTTAAGCATTCTCGCGCGTTGTTTTATATATTTAATCATCTCATATATCACTCGTCAAAATATGACAAGCAAAGTCTAGCAGCAGCTTATAAATATCTTTTACATATCGTACGCATTTTAATGTTGCGTTTTATATGCTAGACGGAGATTAGGATTATTATTCTCCGTACTAATTATTGCTGATACAGGGTCTAGATGTTCTTCAGTAGGACCATTTTGTCCAACAAAATGAAGGCTATAAATGAAGGCTATGCAAAAATATAACTATCCTTCGTGGTATCTAGCCCCAGGAAAATGTAAAAAAAAAGATATCAGCTCCATTACTGTCTGGTTTTAACCGATCAGGATACCGTGAATCGCTTTTACAAGTACCCCAAGCGCATGCACTTTTTAGTCGTAACCGTTCTATATTGTTCTATACAGTATATATACGCTCTGGCTGCCATGTTTGATATATTTTTTTACATTTTCCTGGGGCTAGATACCACAGCGCAAAAACGAGAGGGCTGGATACGTGCATGTCACAGAGGCGATAAATTTGTATGTACGAAGGATAGTTATATTTTTGTATAGCCTTCATTTATAGCCTTCATTTTGTTGGACAAAATGGTCCTACTGAACAACATCCAGACCCTGTATCAGCAATAACTAGTACGGAGAATAATAATCCTAATCTCCGTCTAGCATATAAAACGCAACATTAAAATGCGTACGATATGTAAAAGATATTTATAAGCTGCTGCTAGACTTTGCTTGTCATATTCTGACGAGTGATATACGAGATGATTAATATTAAATATATCAAACAACGCGCGAGAATGCTTAAAATCGTTTAAAACATTCATTTTAAAAGGATCAGGCAGCTGAATATCGTGAACTTTCAAACGACGGCTTAGATTTAAGTGGTCTTCGGCTTCACTGACTTGAAAAAGCAATGAAAAACTCATTTCTTCGACGGCACAAGCAATAGCTACGAGTCCGGGTTTGAGGTAAACTGTTAACGGTAATTCCTCGATTTTGTAAGTGCGCTTTGAGCTCCGGCAGCTTCGTGGCTTTGAATTTCTCTTCTCGTGACATAATTTCCATTTTGACTATTGTTTCGTGACGAAAGCGCGCGAATTTATCTATTAAATGGCCGAAACATTTGTGTATTTTGAATAGCATTTGTATTACGGTTAGCACTATTTTCCATCCAGCAAACTGACCTGACGTCATTTTCGCTGGTGTTAAATGGCTATGTAACTAACCCAAACCCTACCCCTACTCTAACCCCTAACCCTAACCTCAACCCTAACTCTAACCCTAACCGAATTAATGAAAAAATCCAAAAAGAAACGACTTTACAAAATCGATAGGGCGGTTTGCTGGATGGAAAAAAGTGCTAACCTTGTATTACATGCGGCTAAATCGAGGAATGCACATTTGCCCGACGCCATCTTGAATTCACTATTAACTGGGGACATCCGTGGTTATCTTATGATAATAATGAATTAGTAAAATTTGTTATCATTAAAGTGCTCCTGTATCCCTTGTCTACATCCGCAGTTTATTTCTATTGTTAGCTGGGAAGTGAACACGCGATAAAAAGTTTTCTTTACTAAATTGACTAGAGATATTTACTATGAAAAGATGCTGATTTTTATGGCGAATTCAATGGTGTTCTCCGATTTTCCATCTACTCTGTACACAAATTCCTATAGTAGGGTAAAGACTCGAGTTTTAGAGTATTAAAAGGCGAATATCTCGGTTCAGTTTTTGAATGAAAAAGGAAAACTAGGGCTGTTGATACAGAATTTCATGCAGAATCGAAGAGTATTTTCAGAATGTCCATCTACCGTGCACACAACTATGTGCTCACTATATGACTGAGTAAATTTGCGTGCCAGAGACTAAGTGTCAATTAATGCATACAAATCACTGTGAAAAATGTCGATTCGCGAAATGCTGTTATTTTGTATTTTCGATCGGTTTATTTTCCTTTATATGAAATCAAAAGCTAAAATAAATCATTATAATATGATTATTTATGATTTAAACGCATCAAAAGTGTATTTATTGTGATTTTTGCTGCTATAAACTAGCTTTATTTATATACATAACACATTAGTATTTAGGCATGTGCGAGCGACAATTATCCAATCAGAATCCAATATTTTCATTTTCCCGCGAATACGTTTGTTTTGATTACATCATTCATGATAGATACTATGACATCATAACTGAGACCCAGGTCATTGCGCGGAATTCAAGATGGCGTCGGGCAAATGTGCAACATGCGGCTAAATCGAGGAATGCACATTTGCCCGACGCCATCTTGAATTCACTATTAACTGGGGACATCCGTGGTTATCTTATGATAATAATGAATTAGTAAAATTTGTTATCATTAAAGTGCTCCTGTATCCCTTGTCTACATCCGCAGTTTATTTCTATTGTTAGCTGGGAAGTGAACACGCGATAAAAAGTTTTCTTTACTAAATTGACTAGAGATATTTACTATGAAAAGATGCTGATTTTTATGGCGAATTCAATGGTGTTCTCCGATTTTCCATCTACTCTGTACACAAATTCCTATAGTAGGGTAAAGACTCGAGTTTTAGAGTATTAAAAGGCGAATATCTCGGTTCAGTTTTTGAATGAAAAAGGAAAACTAGGGCTGTTGATACAGAATTTCATGCAGAATCGAAGAGTATTTTCAGAATGTCCATCTACCGTGCACACAACTATGTGCTCACTATATGACTGAGTAAATTTGCGTGCCAGAGACTAAGTGTCAATTAATGCATACAAATCACTGTGAAAAATGTCGATTCGCGAAATGCTGTTATTTTGTATTTTCGATCGGTTTATTTTCCTTTATATGAAATCAAAAGCTAAAATAAATCATTATAATATGATTATTTATGATTTAAACGCATCAAAAGTGTATTTATTGTGATTTTTGCTGCTATAAACTAGCTTTATTTATATACATAACACATTAGTATTTAGGCATGTGCGAGCGACAATTATCCAATCAGAATCCAATATTTTCATTTTCCCGCGAATACGTTTGTTTTGATTACATCATTCATGATAGATACTATGACATCATAACTGAGACCCAGGTCATTGCGCGGAATTCAAGATGGCGTCGGGCAAATGTGCATTCCTCGATTTAGCCGCTAGTATTTTCATTTTCCGCGAATACGTTTGTTTTGATTACATCATTCATGATAGATACTATGACATCATAACTGAGACCCAGGTCATTGCGCGGAATTCAAGATGGCGTCGGGAAAAATGTGCATTCCTCGATTTAGCCGCTAGTAAATGTGCATTCCTCGATTTAGCCGCTAGTATTTGTATTACTTGTATTACGCTCCGCCATATTTGTCCTAGCCGATCTGATCTAAAACTCCACACGAGTCAGCGATTTAGCCGCTAGTAAATGTGCATTCCTCGATTTAGCCGCTAGTATTTGTATTACGCTCCGCCATATTTGTCCTAGCCGATCTGATCTAAAACTCCACACGAGTCAGAACACGAGTTGGACACGAGTGAACACAAGTGAACACAAGTGAACACGAGTGAACACGAGTGAACACGAATGAACACGAGTGAACACGAGTGAACACGATGAACACGAGTGAACACGAATGGAACACGAGTGAACACGAGTGAACACGAATGGAACACGAATGAAATACAAGTCTTAAACGACTAATAACCCTAAATACGACTTATTAATATGCCAATAATACGAACACTACGAACAAAGTAAAATTGATTCTTGCGGGTATTCTGATGTTATGCATGGCAGTGCAGTAGCAAGCTGTTGAGAGTGGACTGCAAAAGGATATGTGGGGGCGGGTGGGGGGGAGAAGGAGGGCAATTCAAAACCCCTGAGATAATATATATAAAAACTATACGCAATGGTTTATTTTCCATATTTGAACTGTATCAAACATCAGTTGCAAAAAAAAAACACATTAACGTGTCCAGGGTAGTACGGCTGGGGGGAGGCGGGGTTGGGGGGGGGGGAGTTTAGGGAAAAAACATTTTTGGACATACCATTTTTCACTAACTTACCGAAATTTGTACAATTTTCAGTAATATCTTCGTAAATTTATCTAAATTTATCCTACAATTGTCACTTTTCCAAAAATTATTTGTTAAGTTACATTTTTTTGCCCGACGAGCGTGTCGTTAAAATTGCCCCAGAGTTACGCCCCTGAACGTGTCTTAATATTAATCAATAATATTAATATAGTAAGTGTCCTGGCACTCCAATTGGAAGTTCTAAAATATGAAGCGACCACAGGGCCGTAGCTAGCATGTATAGTGGGGGTGGGGGGAGGGGGGGAGGGATCTCGGGAAAAATTTCCGAAAGACGAAAAAAGTTTCGAATCTTTCATTGCATACGACGTCCCGAAGATGTTTGCTATTCGGAAAATGAAGACGCAATAAATTATAAATATATTAAAGCCGTTTTTTATTAGACGCACCAGAAGGAATATTAATGTATCATAATTGAGAGAATTGAGTCAATTATTGACCAAATACAAACAAAAATACACATATTTTTACGCATATTATAGAAGTGATAAACCGAAAAACATTCACCGATTTACGATTTGTAAATTGTTATGCGTGTAAATGCCATAATTCGATCAGTTTATACTGACAATACAATTCTATAATATTTTCTCCGTTTAACAACTAAAATTTCGTTATACTATTATTGCCGTAATTTTCCGAATGGCCAACCCGATTTTCCTAATATGTTAATTCTAAAAAAGTTGGGGGGGGGGCAGGTTAAACAAACCCCAACCCTCCCTCGCTACGGCCCGGAGCGAAAAACAACATGAAAATGAATGCCTATTGCATTTCATTAAAGAAATAAACTACAGATAATTCAAAAAAGGTTGTCCATGGCAAACCTTGAACTCTAGATCTTAAACCTTAAACTCTAAGCGTGCAAAGCATAATGGGAGCATCATTTAATCAGTTACAATCTCGTGCACAGAGCCCGAGTACGTCATCTTCCAAGTATATTGTGGATTCACTCGTGTTCCATTGGTGTTCACTCGTATCTTAAACCTTAAACTCTAAGCGTGCAAAGCATA